GTGGGCGATGTCCCACACCTCGCCGCCTCCAGCTGGTGGATTGATGTCGCGTGGTTTCGGTGTGTGCGATAGGCGCTACATGTATCGAGCATCAGCACCAGGTCACATCGCAATACCGTAGCACACGCCAGTAGAGAGCATCCAATCTACCCGTCAAGCACGGGAATGGGGACTGCCATGCATCAGAGGTGCAAGCGAATGCTCGCGAAGACCTACGGAACCTGTCCATGGCCTCGCGATCTTGGCGCCGAGAGCACACCCGACGGAGATGAGCGCGCGACGGCCCACAATGGCTCGCGACGGGCGTCCGCGGGGGAACAATGGCGTCGCGGACGGCGAGCGAGAACAAGGACGCGGCCACGTCCGTGCGCGTGCGAGGTCGACGGTCGTGGTGGATCAGGGCTCGCGGTGAGCCGGCCGCGCGGAGGGAGGTGGTTGGTGGTTGGTGCCCAGGGACACTGGCGCGCCTCATGGCTGCCTCGCGCGTGCGGGCACCCCGCGAAGCGAGCCCGCGCCCCATCTAATCTATAAAAGCCCGGGCTTTCTGCCTCTTTTTTCCTCCCTCCTCATCTCTGGTGACCTCCTCGCCCACGCCCCCGCCCTCGCTGCTCTCGCCTTCGCCGTCGTCGTCGTCCACGCCGATTTCGCTGCCTTCGTTGCCCTCGGCCCCATCAAGCACGCGCCTCGCTTCGCACTTCTAGCGCCCGTTATTGTCCTCGCTGCCCACCCACGCACAACCCCCCTCCGTACCCACCGACCACAGCCATGTCTTCCTACGTCGCATCCGATGAGATTGTCGTGAGTGTCTGTTGCCTGTGTGACGGCCTTTATGTGGTCGCGGTGCATGCAAAGACGATAGAGACTGACGTCCTGCTCCACTCAGCCCGGCGACATCGTCGCTGTCCAGCACTCCCAGGGCCGCCGTGAAGGCCTCGTTGTCGGCTCCCACATTGACTATGCTGTATGTCTTCATCTATGATAATAACCAAGCCATCGCGCTGACTTGCCCCCTCATGCAGGGCCGCCAAATCGTCGAAGTCCAGCTCGAGCCCGGAGACATCTACCACGCATGGTAAGTCCCCCATTCCCCCCTTCCCCCCCACCTCCTCTGCCCCTTCTCGCACCTTCGGGAGAAGGGCGGCACGGGGGCGCACTGTGTGGGAGCGCGCGAGGTCACAGTGACTGATGCTCACTCCCTTCTTTCCATCCCCGTCGTTGCGCAGGTACCCGACCGTGACCCGCGTGCGCCGCACCATCTCGTACACACGCCCTTCGCCGCAACACAAGCGCACCATCGAGCGCACCATCTACTGGTGATCCCGCTGCACGCTTCTCTCCTTGCGCGGCATCGCGCTGGCCTACGGTAGCAGCATCACGGACCCCCGGACTATTTGGCACATTTTTCTGACCTCGACCTCGGCTTCGACCTCTCGGACTCGGTGAAACGGGAGCGCCCGCTGTGCGCGGTGGTCTCTAAATCGCCGCGGCTTCCCATACCATACAGCGGAGGAGCGCACGATGCTTTCTGTGTGTGTGTGTTGTACTTTCCTGCCCGCGCCCATGATACATGATACGTAGGATCATCCCGCGAAGGCGCGGATGTGCTCGCGCGTCGATCTCTGCACAGTCCGGCATGCCAGTCTTCCATCCCGCCCACTAGTTTCCCCGTCTGTGTACTGTTGTGACATACCTAGGAAGGCGCGATGCGCCGGTGTACTTGCCTGCACACTGGTTCCTCTTTTCCGACTCCTCTTCTCGCCTGGATACTTCTCTCACTCGTCACGGTTGCTCCCTTTTCTCGTTCTGCGCTCTCGCATATGTATGTAGATAGATCATCCACCTCGCTCGCATCGCTCATTCTTTGGTATCACGAAGCATGGCCTCAGCAGTGTTGAACGATCTCTGCTCAGCGTTGACTCTGGACGGATGCATATGAGGACGATGTATGTATTGACAAAAGAAGTTATACGTTTCCGCCACATCGTCAGACGTCAACGGGCTGTGAGAGTGATCCAGGGTGTAGGTAAGTGATGTGTATTGCGCCGCAAGAGGACGACGATATACAGAGAGGTAACTAGGGGAGAAGACGGGAGGAGGGAGGGATACGTCGATTGTGTAGAGTACGGAGAGGATAGGAGGGGAGGGTGTCGGGTGTCGCATACAGGATAGACTAAACCAATAAATGTAGAGCGGCAAAGCAGAGAAACGATCTGTATATCCAACGAACGGATTATGCTCGTAGGGTGGTAGGCGGAGCCGTCGTCGTGGGCGATGCAGGGTGCCCGTCCGATTGCTGCGAGATGGACCGCCTGCTCTTCCGGAGCCGCCCCGACTTGCTCGACGGCGTCGGGGACAGCGGCGGGCGCTGTGGGGAGATGGGCGGTGCTGCCCCGCCATTCGGCGGCGTGTGCGGACGAGTCGATTGGTGGTGATGGTGTTGGCTATGTTGCTGTTGGTCACTGGGCTGGGACTGGTGATTATGTGAATGCGAGTGTGAGTGGGAGCGGGAGTGATGAGAACGTCCGTTTGCCTGGCTCGCATCGCCGTTCACCGAGGGCTTCGTACTCGCAGTCGAGCTGGAGCTCTCGGTCCTTGACATTGGGGGCGCGCTCGGCCTCAGGCTTCTATGCGCAGACGTCCGCCGTACGATGCGCGGTCCCAGCATCTTACTACTATCCTCGCGCCGCTCTCTACTCTCGCGCCTTCGCTGCGAATGAGCGGCATCGCCATTCCGCCTGCTCTCCCTCCTCGATAGCTCGGCGCCTCCATTGGGTGTTGCAGACGCGTGCGACTCCTCCGCCTTGACCGTTTCCTCAGAACCGCGTGGCGAGCCCGAATACGGCGACGACCGCGGCTGCTGCACGCGCTCATAATAGAGCATGAACGCGCCAGAGCCCTCCTGCAGGACGCGCTCGATCCCGCACTCCTGGACGCTATCGTCGGATATGCGCAACCACCCGCGTCCGGGGCGCGCGCCCGAGTCATCCTCGTCCCGAACGGGCCCGTATCGCTCGCATCGCGCGCAATCGCATCCTAGTGGGCAGGCAAGCCTGGGAGGCGCGAAGCGGCGCTCCCTGGTGGAGAGCGGTCGAGGCTTGCGTCGGAAGCAGACGTAGTGGCCAAAGGAGTGCTGACCGTAGTGGCACACGACGGCGGAAAGGCGGTATAGTGTACGGGGGACAGCGTACGTAGAAGGTGTGGGGGTGATGGATCGCTGGACGGGGATGGGGGGAGGCGGGGATGAGATAGGTGCGGATGGTTGGGTGGAAAGCTGTCCGGAGGTAGTATATGGAGTGAGGTCTAGGATCTCTGGGAAAACGACGCGACAGTTATTCTTGGCGGCGTAATGGCCATAATGCATCGAGCGGTTGAGGTGAAGAGCGAGTACTGGTGGTGGCTACGGACGGGTCAATGGGGTAATTAGGGAGGCAAATGCATGACTTACACGAGCGACCATAGATTGCTTAGTAGATGCTCGACTGAACACCTTTTCCATTTTCACACCCTTGATGTCCTCCTCAATCCGACCCTCGTCCAAGGCAGCCTTCACGCGGCCTAGGAGTTTGCGAGCATCTCGAGCGCGTTTCTTCTTGGAGGAGGACGGATCGGTCGATGCTGAAGATGCCTCGGTCAAACGTTCGGCCTCCTGTTCTAACCGCTTGTGGGTGGCAAGCATAGAACATTTACGGCAGATGCAGTCGCTGAGAAGCTCCAACCTCGTGTAATCTTCAAGACACTCCTCGAGACGGCATGCAGCCTGAGTGAATGATATCAGCAGGAAGCGGGAGAATTGTAAGGGGTCATACATACCACCATGCGAGGCACGGCGAGCTGCCAATTATCAAACGGGAAATGCATGACAGCCTCCGTGTACCCACACTCCATGCAGCTACGTCTGTTCGCAGTGAGGCCGTCGAACACCGTCTGACTGAGGTCGCGAACAGTCAAAGCATCTTCCTTCGTCAAGCCTCCCAAACCTCGATCTCGCCGGCTCTCTTTCGCCACAGCAGACGCCTCGCTCTTGATACATTCAGAGAGGAGCTGGAAAAGCTCCTGCGCGTCTTGATGCTCACGAGAGGAGAATAAGGAATTGTGCTTGCCCGGATTGTGGTTCGACAACGCGGCGATGATGTCAACGGGGCGTATCGCACGCGGGGACGAAGAGGGCGTGTTGAGGACTGTCATCTGCCTCGTCAAGTGAGGTACACGTGAACGGACTGAGGGTACTAACGGCGAACGAGCTCCCTTAGAGAGTCGATAACGGGGGTAGGCACATCCAATGTCTCAGCTCTTGCGTGAACTTGCTCTAACTGAGGCTGAAGATATGACAAGGATGCCATGGCCTAGATGACGAACAGGTATGAAGGGGGTGGTTCCTTCAGTTCATGTATTTTGCACGTACCTGTAGGGTGGAATTCATGAAGCAATATGTGCCCGAGATGTTGACAAGTCCGGGATAGTATCCGTCCTCACTTGACCCATCGTAGGAGCTTTCTGGGGCAATGTATGGGTTTCTATTGCCATGGGAGTAAGTACACTATCGGCAAAACGCACCTTGGCTAGAGGTTCGCGCAACCTGGTCATCCCGAGTACGAACGTGCCTCCTCTTCAGCTTCTTCCTATCTGAGCCTGCAGCAGACGAGGATCCATCTGACCAGTTCCAGGGCAAGATGAACGCCAGAGAGTCGAAGACCATCAAGACGGTGGCTGCGATCGAATGGCGGTACGAGTTTACGACGAGCACAAGCGTCGGAACGAGGACGAGGAAGACAAGAGGCGCTATTTGCTGAAAAGCCGGACTGGAGAGGACTTGGAAGACGTAGTAACGGAAGTCGTGGTGCAGCATCTAGCTCAGATTGACGAGCTTCCTCGTACTGACGACATGGGTCAGCAGAAGACAGTAGTTGGCAGAAACTTGCCTCGACTTCGCCGCCAGCTGAGCGTAAGTCGGGGCGCCAGTGTTAACATAATATGAGCCTAATACCGCGTCTTGATAACATGGCTACCTGGCGCAATGGTAGCGCGTTTGGCTTCGATTGCCGACGGCTACAACGTGACTCACACACCGTGTGACGTCACGGTCACGGCACCAAAAGGTTGCAGGTTCGAGTCCTGCGGTGGTCATTCCTTTTTGCCAGTTCGAATTGGACGGTGATTAATGAAGATTTTTAGAGATTCGTGTTCCAGCTAGTATGGCATCTATTATACGTGCGTTACAGCAACAAGATGGAGAGAATAGCACAAGTTCTATCAAAACATTGGGCGCAAGAAGACGAACGAGCATTAAAAGAGATACCCTCGAGTTGAACAACATACTCAGTATCCGGGCCGGCTGCCGAGACGCGTCTGGGTTGATTGAGACGCGTCGGTGGCGGAGTTGTTCAAGTGCTTTTGTCAGTGATCGCCTGCCGCAGCTTGTCCGTCTCCTGCCTGCTTCTCCGGGATCCTCGTATTTGGGACCACACTCTTTATTGGTTCGTCTTCTTGGATACATGGCTGCCACCGCTCTTCTCTCGCGACACTCCTCCAACCCGCTTGAAGTGTCTTCTTCAGATACGCGGAACCGCGCATACCTCAGGGAGCTCATGGAGGCTCAGCAGCTGGCTCGCCATTACGCTGCAGAACAACCTTCATCGGACGACCCTCTGAACGAGTTCAACCTGCCCGAACTTGAACGATACCATTCCCATCTCGCTCAGCTCTACACCCCCGCACAGGCATCTGCATACCAGTACGGCGCGTCCGCGGGCAACGTACCCGAGAAACCAATAGAGGTGGACGAGGAAATGCTTAGCGACGGCGAGTCTGGAGAGGAAGAGATGGAGCAAGACGAAGACCAGGAGTCGGAAGAAGATGAAGACGGTGACACCGATGAAGAGTTGACTATCTACCTCAAGTCTCGCGACGAGCAAGCAGAAATTGAGGAAGAAATCATGGACCTCGAGTCTGCTGTCCCTGAACTCACAGAAGACTACAAGATTATCGACAGGCTCGGAACAGGCACGTTTTCCGCAGTGTACAAAGCTATTGACCTCGGTTACCACACCAAGTGGGACAATTCCGAATGGCACGGACACCATCCACCAACGTCGTCTGCATATTATCAAACCGTACCACATCCACCGGGGAGTAAGGTGTTCGTCGCAGTCAAGCGCATCTACGTGACAAGTGGACCAGAACGAATACGCAACGAAATCTCCATCATGGAGGACTGCAGAGGTTGTCGGCACGTCTCCCAGCTCATTACCGCATTTCGCAACCAGGACCAAGTAGTTGCTATAATGCCCTACCACAAGAACGACGATTTCCGAGTACGTTTCATGCACTCATACGATATATGCGCGTTACTCACGCATATATGCAGGATTACTTCAGGTACCTCCCTTTGGAAGGTATCAGAGCGTACTTCCGATGTATGTTCCGTGCATTGCGCGACATTCACTCACGAGGGATCATACATCGCGACGTCAAGCCTGCGAATTTTCTTTTCGATCCTCGGACTGGCATAGGCACACTTTGCGACTTCGGTTTGGCTTGTGTACGTGTGCAGAGGAACTCCCATGGTGCATACTGTCTATGCTGACATCAAAGATCTCAGCGTGCAGAACGCGGGCCTTCACTGGGTGCATGTTTGCACACTGCACCGACTCGTGAATTCCCCCATGGTCGCCTCAAACCCAGGTCAGAGTATGACGTCGACCACATCAAACGAATGCAGAAAGAGGGTCGTATGCGGAGCGCGGGACCTTCGGACAAGGTAGGATATCCCGAGAAGGATACACGGTAGGTTGTCTCGCATCCTCATCTCTTGTTATGTTACTGGACGCTGCTTCTGGACAGACCACACTCCAAGGCCAACCGTGCAGGTACAAGAGGCTTCCGAGCGCCCGAGGTGCTCCTGAAATGCGGAGAGCAAACAGGAGGTATGTGTATACTGATCGTGAGGACGGCCATTACAACTCAACTCTCATGTATCAAGCCATCGACGTGTGGTCGGCAGGAATGATCCTCTTGTTCTTTCTAACAAAGAAGTTCCCTCTCTTTCAGTCCAACGACGACACGGAGGCCCTCATGGAGATTGCGACAATCATCGGGAGACGACGGATGGAGAAGACCGCTACTCTGCATAGTGCGTTGACAAACATATCTTCCAGTGGTCTCACGTATAATACAACGGTCCCCTAGGTCGATTATTCCAGTCGAACGTTCCGTCTCTCACGCAGGACGGCATAACCTGGAAGGAGTTCGTCGAGCGACAAAATCCCTCCCTGCGCGTACCACCAGAACCCGAGCCATCATACTATCCTTACACCCTTCCCGAATACCGTAGCCGTACACGCCCTCCACCTTCCTCATCATCAGGCTATTCGCCTGGACGATCCTCGCCCTCCTCTCCAGTCGAACCCCGGGGCCCTTCTCCAACGCAGTCAGAAGCGGACAGGTATTCCGCCGAGATCGACGTTGCGCTCGACTTCCTCGAGAAAGTGATGGAGCCCGAGTCTATTCGCCGGATGACGCCACGGAAGGCCCTCTACCACCCGTTCTTGCGCGAGCCAGACGCCGTGGAGGACGACGAGTTCGCACCAGCGCCATTTGGGGACGGGATCTGTGGTGACCTGCACTTCATCGACGACGAGGACGAGCTGTGCGTGAAGGTGCGCGTGGAAGGCAGGGACGATTGGGTCGTGCGCAGGGTGCAGGCGGGGGAGGGGATCGCAATCGGCAAGCAGCCATGTGAGTTCCATCGCGACATGCCTGAGTTCAGTGGGCTCGCGAGTGTAGGGGATGGAGGTGGTTGCGACGAGGTAGTGTATGGATAGTGTGTACGAACATAATGACATTCTGCGCGGACGGTGATTTGATAGACGATGGTTCGTGGATCATTAAAAGGCTGACTAGTTGATGACAGGCCTACACAAATGAATCCTTTCCCATGACAAACTAGGTGAGCAAGCTCAGCGGTGAATTGAATATACCTTGATTTCACAGCATAGATCGAATAGAATCAAGGATAACGAACGTAGTAGTAGAGAGTTGGCAGCTGGAGAGCGGATGTAAATCGGATATAATGAATGCACAGCTTCAAGCTTCTGTATACTCGGGAGGCACGTCCTCAACTTCCTTTGGCAACGGTGCACACTGGCCATCGGCGGTAGTACCGAACCGTATTCCTGAATCCGAGTGGTATACGCTCGTAGTGGTGCCAGCGTCAGACACAGACGAGGGCGATCGCTTGAGGTCTGTAGAAAGGGTAACGGCGAAGACGCCGCGATGAGGTAGACGTTGGGCGTGCAGAGTGAGAGTTTTCGTACCTTCAGCGAAGAGATGCACAGCGCTGACGTGCCGGTCGAGTTTCGCATCCCGCTTCTGCCTCCTCTTGACGATCCAGCGGTGCACCGCAAAGGCGAACAGCGAGAGGACTACGAGCCCACCCACGACGCCGCCAAGGATGGGACCGACAAGGGAGGAATCGCCGCCAGTCCCAGACGGAGACGATTCTCCAAGGTCCGCGGTTAGGACGTCGACCGGCGCGTACTGAATATAGTCGAGGATGAAAGGCCAGTTGTTCTCCTCGTCCCCATGCGAGACGGCGATCTCCAGCGTGTGCGCCCCAGCCGAAAGGTTGGTCTGCTGGAACAGGAGGAATCCATACACGGGCTCGGAGGGGTCGGAACTAGTCCCTGCTGTGAGGGGCAAGGTCGCATCGCCGTCGAGAGTCAGGATGGCGGAAGGGGGTTGAATATCATCTGCCACCGAGGGTGGGATTACAGCAACGTAGACCTCGACAGATGTGCCTGTCATTCATCTCGTTAGCAAGTCTGCTGAGACGTGCATGGAAATAACAACGACCATAACGCACCGTTGAAGCTCAGCTTCGCTGTGGCATTCGTGAAGCCTGCGGAATACGTCGCATCATGGACGCTGTCCTGGTGGGAGAGGTGTTTCCAAAGATCGGGCGTTTCGTAATCGATGGCTGGGTCAGCATCGTCAACAAGCACAACGGGCGTAGAGGCCATGTTTCTGGCGCATGAAGCAAGGATTGTGCCAATAGCCTGGGAAGACTGCTGTCTGAACCTGGTCGAGGGGGAGTTCGAGATGGTCTGTAGGTCTGGGTTGTGTGGTACCTCGGCCACACACGGTGCCTAGTAGTCATTAGAGGCGGCGTTCCTCGGGCAGGCTCGGGCAGGCTGGGATAGGCCGAGGGCCAGTGAATGATGAGAGAAGCGGGAAGGGTGAGTTTCGGAAAATGCCAGACATAGGTATAGTACCCGGTCGGCAAGGTGGTTGAATGGCTAGCAGGATACTTCGCCGGAGCGGCACGATATGGCACTTGCGATTCAACGCAGTGTGCATTTGAGAACTGCTGCGAATCTGAGGTAACTCCGGGAATGCCGACTCAGAAGCGAACATCCGCAGGCCAGCTGCACGAAACTTGGACATTTGGCTGACACGGCAGGTGAAATCCCTCGTACTTGCTGCCCAAGGCCATCCCGCTGAGCTGTCCCATACAGAGCGGATCTCCGATACCTACACATTGTGAGAACTGTGAGGAAACACCGGCAACTCTGGTTCGTGAGGCAGTGCGGTGCGTATGCGCAGCAGCATGCATCGCTTTGCGATTCAATAGAGTCTGCTGATGACCTACGTGAGAGTGAGCTGGTCAATGCACTAGCCGAACGCAACATCAAGAAGGATGCACAAACATGTTGCATGATATTCCGGGATTGAATATCATGCCGCTCTTTAGGTGGGAGTCGAGGGTATACGCCAAAGGTTTAGTACTTAGTACAACCATTCACCCAAAGTACTACGATGATACAGATACAAACAAAGCACGCCGGGCTTGATCCGGAATGCGCGGCATCTCTACTCCCTATACGCTCGTCCCACCGGACGACCTAGTACTCGTACAATTTAATGCTCCGTATACTGTGGAGGAATCTCCGAATACGCATCGTCCGATCGAGCATCCTCCAGAGCTGGACCGCCCTCGCCGCGTTCACGGGCTGTCGGTGGGCCGAACCGCAACCCTGAGTCCGAGTGATATACTCTGACTGAGGCGCGGCGGGCACTTCGCAAGAGTCTCGCGGCGGCGCTCCCCAGTTGACGCTGTGAACCTGGTT